TCAGAAAAGGAGAAGACAAAAAATGTTTTAAAATATGGCAAATTCGCAAAGTGGGTAACCCAGGGTTGATTTACTAACGTCAAGTAGCATCAGAAATAATTACTCTGAATCAAAAAATTAGTAGAAATGTAAAAGATAACAGTAATTTAAAAATATGAGTTCTTAAATGCTAGGTACTATTCTAACTACTTTATTTGTATTATTTCACCAATCATCTCCCCCCAAATCCTATGAAGTAGACTTTTACTTTACAGATCAGGAAACTGAGGCACAGAGTAATTAAGCAACTTGTCTAAGAGCACAGAACTATGAGGCCCAGGACTCAAAGGCAGGCAGGCAGACTACAGAACCAGTTCTGTTGACAGCTATCTGCCTATTCTGCCTCCCAATCACCCAGTCAAGCCCCCTCATTTACAGACAGTGGGATCTAGAGAAGGGAAATTGGTGGTTAAACTCAAAAACCCCAGACTCCAGGCCGAAAACAAAACAAATAAACAAAACAAAAACATCATTTCCTGTACAAACAGAATGGAAAAAATACTGACCCTGACCATTGTGAGCAAACCCCATGCTCAGTGGAAAGGCGTGGTATATCAATTTTCTATCACTAGCTCAAAAACAGACTGATTACTCAGCAGGTCACAGCAACTGATCATCTCATCCCTCATTTTTAAACTCCACTCAATGAAGACGTAAGTCAAAACAGAGTACCAAAAAAAAAAAAAAAGGACACATTAAACAGGTTTTGAGGTTTATTAAAATAATTAGCAAACAATATGCAAAAACAAAGTTCTTAAGAGTTATGGCTTTGAAAAGCACAATATAGTAAAACCTAATACATTTTTATAAGTATCAAAAAGATAACAGAATTGAAGCATGTTGCTAGAATTTCATTTTCTACAACATAAACAGAAGCAGAACAAGTACAAATAAGAAGCAGACCTATAGTGCAGCCATTGGCTTGGTCTTTATCATCTGCATATGAAATATATTTTTAAGAGAATATGGGCAATACAAACATGATTACAATCCTCTCCGATTTTAAAATAAGTGAATTTCAAAATGCAACTTTAACCAACCATGTTAAAAAGAAAATCACTTGCCCAACCATTCATTATCCTCAAGAGTCCCCACAGTTAAAATACTTTATGAATAAATCAAAGCAGCAGCATCTCCAATGGGATTAGAAAGGAAAATCTGACCCTAAAAAATTTCTTTTTTACAAAGAACTTGGGATTCTTTGGGCTCACTGGAGTTTGTTATAGCTAACACCAGCTTGTATTAAGAAGGCACTAACTATTAATGGGTGAAAAAAAAATCTACCTGTACACAAAATCACGAACTTTTCAAAAACCCTCATCTTTGAATAAATGCTTAAAGGATAAAGTTTTATGATGATTTTAAGAATTTTAAGAACTGAGTTATTTAGACAAGAACCACACAAACCTTTTTTACTCTGCCAGGAACGACCAAAGAAACCTGCTCTAGGACTGGATCTTTTCAATGAAATAACTCATCACTTGTTTTACAGCAAATTACAGCATGCTTGCTTTCTTAAACACAAAAACAAAATCAATGTGCGAGATCCCTTCCATTGGTTTTGGTAAACCATCCAATTTCAGGGTGTTATTTCAGTTATAACACAGTTGTTTTTTAGAAGATAAGATTCCATTATGAATAATCCAATATAACAAAGGCTTGATAAATACTACCTCCTGTAATAAGGACATAGTAAACCGTAATCCAGTGAATTCCAAAGAACTGTCCAAGTTTCTGTCCCGCAGGTATAATTCTTCGTTTATGCAGAAGAAATGCCTTGAATTCTCACTTTTGATGCATGCATATTTTGTGATAAGAAAAACTCCCAAGAATCTCACCTGTAACAGTGAGGAAAATGCTGCTGCTCTGGGGGAAACAGGCATCAAACCTGAGATTATCCCTCAAAAAGCTGCCCTAATAACGTCTGAGACCACCTTAGACCACCACGTAGGAAAACTCTCTCCCATAAAAATCATCAAACACTTCTAAAACCACCAGATTATCTACCACCTTAAAAGATACCTGCTTATCTAGCTGATGGGTACAATGACGACACATTTATATTCATACCCGAGACACTGAGGATTTAACTAATAAGACAAATAAGGGCTTTAACCCTCTTAAAAGTTAACAGATCCAAAAGTCATCACTGGAGGTTGAACTCAGTAACTATCAAAAGATTCTTGCTTCCTCGGAAAGTAAAAAGGGTGTTAATATATTTTGAGTGGGAAAGGTGATAATGACCCAAAGTAATATTAAGTAAATGATTAGAAAAAGTATAAAGAAATGGATCTAAACTGGTATATCAGATGCTCCCTATGATAGAAGCACAGCACTTTAACAGGCACTATCAAACTGTTTAGAGTTTCTCTGCTGTTGGCAGGATTTCATTTTCTGAACGGACTTTCTCTTCCAACAGAACACTACTACAGCAGAAGGCACTGTTTCCCACAGGTACCCTCAGGTAATATGGAAGCTTTTAGAACATGAGTACCAGTTCTTCTCTTGGCAACGCATTTCAGATCTGAATATTTATTGATCACTTTACATCCTAAAAGGATGTCTTACTATCATATGTCACGAAAAGTACAAAACAGCTGTATCTTCTTTCTGTACTATTAGATGTGGTTGATTGAACTGTCTATCTGGTAATCTTACTCTGGATTTCACCACAGAAACCTAACCAATTCTATTGCCACAGTTTTCTTATAGAGCAACAATAAAATGTGAAAAATGATTTATAGTCTGACACATATATTTGACATTTTGAACGATGTCCTCCTTGAACTCTCTAAAAAAAGTGTCCATTTCAGTAGATCAGTAACATGCCTACCAGTTTACATTCCATAATGTTAGCCAGGCAACACCAACCTGACCATAATACTCTTTCACGTAGAGATATTAGGCAAATGCACCTCTTATATCCTGCTTTTATCCAATCAACATCTTTTTGCTGCTTTAATTCATTACTGATATTTGATTCTATCCTGCTTTTTGCATTTACCAAATTGGTTGCAATTTTATTGTTTTTAGATTTTGTCTTTTCAGCTGGCATAAATTAGTATGTTGTACATGCTATAATATGTGATTATTCTTGTGGTGCTGATGTTTTTGAAACTTTTACTGTAAACCATTCTGTAGAATAAATAAAAACTTAGAACTATAATTTTCTGATGTGGTTTTGTTCAGAGGTGCTTTCTTTTTACTGGCCAGAATCTGAGTGTTTTGTTTTGCTTTTTTAAATCTTACTAGCAAATTTTATTTCCTATATATAGATATATGGGCATCCTTAGGGATTGTAAGAGAGGCTACACTGTATTTTCATTTAAAGTCAAAGGGTCTGGAGTTGACAGTTTCTAGGAAATACTGCAGGCGTATACTTCTCTATGAAACTCTTAATGGTTAATAGCTTTAGTACTATCACCCATGAGACACGATGACTTAGAGAAAACAAAGAAAACGCCAATCACATAAAATCTTGCTAACTCTAAAGGCTGTGACATGATGACCCCAAATGAAAACAATTTTTGATTAACTTTCATGTGAAAACACCAATAAGACAACAGTTTCCACTAGTTTACCACAGCCCACTGAAGTTAATCACACGTACCTGTCATTTAACAGAAGTGATTTTTTTCCCATAAATTTGTTCCAAAGATTGTGCCATGAGCCTGGTAAATTAAAGAATGATGAAAATACCTAAGTTCTGCCACTGAGACCATAGTTCTTTTTCATGTGGCTGACACGACTCTGGAAGACTCAGAATGCATGTTGTGTTGACACTTACTTTAAGGCTGAGGCGGCTGTCAGAGTATTTCTTTTACCCAGCAAAACAGCGGTGAGCTGAAACACACGAGCGGCACTTCATCTGAAAGAACTAAAACCACCCATTGGCTGCACACTGACAAAGCAATAAATAATGACGCATAAAACAAAAGGAACTGTATAATCCTTTCCTTAAAAAATGTACTTTTTTTCCTCATAAAAACAGAAAGGGCAAAGTGGAAAGTCAAACCACACTAACATTTTACACAGAAGAATGACGTGGCTCCACATACTTTCAAAAGGCACCAGAAAGTAAAGTTTCTGCTGACAGGTGAATTAGATTCATATATTTTTTTAAAAAATAATTTCTTCATTCTCATGTCAAAACGAAGAGTCCATTTGGCTACTCCCTAGAAAAACTAGTCAAGAGTCCTTTACCCAGAGCCAAAGGTATGATTGATTAAATGGATGTTTCAGAGTTTTCATGTCTTTCCTCTCTGATGATTGTATTCTGGGAGACTAGCACCCATGTAGGTACTAAAAAAATGGAAAAAGAGAATCGATGATAAGTAAGAAAACAGTCTGCATTCCTTGATGCATGAATGTTTCAAAATCAGCTATCCCAACATCCACTACTGCAGTATCAGACCGGCAGCCACATCCCTGGGGCCCAACGGAGGAGCCCCTACAGCTACAGGGCATGGGTCCTTGCACAGAGAAGTGGATGCAAGCAACAGCAATGGGATTAAGCACATGATTTTCCAACATTAATAACACCCATAAAACTACAGAGAATTTAAAAGGCACCTTGAGTTGGAGCTATAGAATAACAGTCTTATAATCTAGGCTTAAAATAAAACAAAAACTAGAGAAGCATAACTTTCTACAACTGTAATCTATAAACTGCAGTGTTTATTAATACAAAAGGGGTTCCAAGGAAGTAAGGATAAGCATCTAAGTCCAAGTCACTTGAGTGTGTTTTACCAAAGGTTATGCTAAAAATTGTCACCCATAAAAGTGCAAAATAAAAGATTAATGCATGTCAAAATTAGAGTTCTTGCAACATTGTCCAAAAGCAGCAAACATAGCCAGCCAAACAAGGCCGTGCACATACTATCACTAGCTATAAAGTAGTACTTATGACAAATTTTGAGTAAATGACATACTTGAGATCAGTTACTTGCAGTAAGTTCTTTAAAAAGGAAATGTTTTACAAAAGATATGTAGCATGAAGTCACATTACACTGACAAACATTGATCTGTATTAAATGTCAATTTTATGATGTCACCTAAAAAACTATCACTTTGCTTTTACTGAACACTACTTGTTAGAGCAGTGCATAGTGTTCCTTCAAATAAAAGATCTTTTTTATAGTTTCTTTTAAGCCCCTACCGTACATTTTTGCAAAACAATGAATTATACTTTTTTTTTTTTTAAGTTGGTGGGACAAAGAAACTGATAGAAGTACAGGTTTGGGAAGATAAAGAATAGAGAATAGGAGGGAAGACTTACTTTTCATTGTATATACCCTCTTAAACATCATTATAATTTTTCATCATGTGATGCATTACTTTTTGAAAAAAATTCAACAAATAAAAAATTGTTAGGACAATAAAGTAAAAGTATGTTCCAGTTTAAGATCCATACCAAACTTCTGAACTGGGGCATAATACTTACTCTGCATCTTTCACAACACTTTTGGGAGTAAATCACACGAACATCGATACAAACAAATGTAGATTCATCACAAAATACAAATGTATTGGTCACAATTATGTAGAAAAAAAATAAGCTGTAATATCTGTTTTCCATGTAAGCTCACAGTATCTGTACTCAAAGTTTCTCTAAAATTAAAACAAGTCCACTAATAATTGAAAAGAATACTTCTGCACTATGAAACAGAAGATATGGGGTTCAGAGGGGAGCCCATCTGAGTGAGGACTTTATCCAGCCATTGAAGAGGCCCATGAAGATGAATTTCAATCCAGCATGGGGTGCTGGTAACATCCTGTCGGTGATATTCTGCTCCCCAGCCCTGTGAAAATGAACAGAAATCACAAAAAAAACCCTCTTTAAATTGTCAACCAGTCTAAACCAATTTTACCATAAAACAAAAAGATACTTTTAACAGTAGAGATATACAGAATGTACTTAAAGGGAATAACTATCACAAAACCAATCTTAGCCTTACCATGGAATTAAAAACAAGACAACAGCTCCATTTTACAAAGATATATGAATTTTTAAATAACATATAATACCCTTAATAGAAACCATTAAGTCTGGATGTTTCAGAATATTTTTAATTTTATAAAGGTAATAGAGAATATTTCATGATTAAAACATTAATATTTCTGCAGAGAGATACATTCTCACTTAATGAGATAAATAAAATCCACAAATCACCTCATGTAAGTTCATGTCAAATTTTGTTACCAAAAATTTTTGCTTTTCAAGTTACTTTTATTTTCCCGGATTTATTAAGTTCTCTGTTTTACTTGTTATGGTACTCCTGGCCCATGGAGAGGAGAGGAGTGGAGAAGATGGGGGAGTGGAGATTAACAAAGCTGGACCATGGTACTGAATACCAAAAAGAAAAACCCACACACAGCATTTAACAGTTGCTCTTCTTGGACTAAATCCTTAAGGCCCACGTGGATATAGTATAGGTTGCTTAAATGTATGACTAAAATTCTTTCAAAATTTTTTTCACAAACCATAACCTTCGGAATATCAACAAACTACGGCCCGGAGAGTAAATAATAAACTTGAAAAGTTCTTTGAACTTTTCAAATCCTTAATGACAGAGTTTAGATACAAGTAAAATAATTTTAGTACTCTAAAGAATTCTGTTAAGCCACCCTAATGGAATCTAATAATAATCAAAATTGTTAAAGTTAAAGAACTCAAAAAGCAGTATTGATATTAAATGCTTTTAACTCAGCCCCTATTCAGTATCAAAATCAGTATCAATCATAAATTTTATAATGTCTGGACTACAAAATGAAATCTCAGACCTATTATGTGGTTAAAATGATAAATTCAAGAATTTCATTTAAAAACCTATTAAACCAGGTCAAAAGTAATTATCACCTTTCATTTAACAAAGAATTTTTTTTCTATTATAACCCAAAGACATAATATACATACTTACAGTTGCTCAAATTACTTCACAGGTCATGACCCACTCACCTTGACAAAACTCATTCGAATGGTACACATTTTGGTGAGCTCATAGACTGCCTCAAACCCGTGGTTGACAGACTGAGCCAGAAGCTGAGCAAACTCCTGATTGTTAAAAATTTTGAGGCTACAGCTGCTGGGAATCTTACAGACGGTAGTAGGATGAAAGCCATGGTGAAAGTTGCAGTTCCTACTCTGTACAAAGATGCTGCTGTCGCTGAGGCACTCCGCATACACCTCCCCACCAACATAGTACAGGTGAACGCCTTGAAAAGACAGGCATTACGAGAGTCAGTTTCACAAAGCACTGTAAGGAAGCCAAAGAGGTTGTATGTTGCAACCAAAGTATCCACTAACCCACAGCAAACTCTCAACAGCCTTTAGATTGAAGCTACCACTAGATGGCCTGCTGCTGCCAAAGATAAACAAGAGGTTAACGTCCGCCTAAAGCTAAAATGATCCTCAAATAACTAAGCGGAAAGCCTCAAGTTGGCAGAATATCAGCTTATGGGTTCTTAGGTTTTTTCCCTTTTCCAACAATCACTTATCATCTCTATGAGAGAAAACAGGTAGCTAAAAAAAAAAAAAAAAAAAATGTGAATGGTTTGAACTCCCTTCTCAAGAGATATAGACTGGCCGAATGGATAAAAAAAAAAAAAAAAAAAACCAAAAATCTCCTTTTGGTGAGTCCTTTCAAATGAATGACTGGTGGTATCAACTATCACAATCCTTGGCAGATTTTACACACTCTTTTTGTTAAGGAAGAAGACGGCAACACTAAAACAAAACAAAACAAAACAAAACAAACAAAAAAACCCTCCAAAGTTACATATGTTAGTTCAGGTCGCAGGAAGAGCTTTTAAATGGCAGATTTTACTTTCCTTTAAAATTTTTTTTGATATTTAAAATATATATAAATAATATGTGAAAACACTTTCAATATTAAAATTCAAATTATATAATGAAAGCTGAAGTCATGAAGTATTTTCCCAACATATCCCTCCATCAGCTCCTTCGCTTTTCTTCTTCAGAGGCAGATACTGCTATCAGTTTGGTATATATCCATTTAATTGCATGTGTATGTCCCCACATGACATTTTCATGTGACTTTGTGTGTAAGTGCATATGTGTGTGTTTGGTTTGGTTTGTTTTTTTAACATGCTATTAACCAAACACTTGCTCTTTTAACTAAATAGATGCTGGAGACTTTGCTCCAAAATATAAATCTGCCACTGTATATATATTTTAAATGCTGCATATAATTCTAGAATGAATATACATAATTTATTTAACTGTCTACCAGTGGGCAGCTTGGCACTACTTTTCACTACTGCAAACAGTGCTTTTTAGCACCAACCCTCTATACAGGTACCTCTGCACAATGGGAGTCACAGACTTGTTTTGTTTCTGAGCAAATAAAAATAAGCCATGAAAGAAAGGGTCCTAGAACTACATACTGGGAAAAAAGGGAAAACTCTGATTGTAGAATTTCAAAATTCACTAGAGTTTCCTTAAATTATTTCTACTTTAGTGTGGGTGTGTGTGTGTGGGAGGAATCAATGTAGAGAAGTGAGGCATTTTACCTAAAAACAATCACGGCAAGGCGGCAGTAAAGCCAAAAGAGAATGAAAACTTTGTTTTCAACTTATTTTTGGCCACAGTATTTTCCTGACTCTCTTCTATAAGAAGTCCTATCACAATTATATTTATTTACCTTTAGTTCCTATTTTGGACCAAGACTCTCTCAAGTCAAAGAAGCAAAAAGAAACGAGGAACAAAAACAAAACTTCTAGAGAAACAGGCAACACTCTCTACCTGGGATGAGTTTCCTTCCTGACCACTTGATGCACCAGTCTTTGACATTTCATTGCAGTGTGAAAAGCCCCTTGTTTGTTGTGGCAACTATTCTGGAGGATGAGCTGTAAACAGAACCTTGTTACCTGAATTTAAAAGGGGGATGGTAAAGCCACTGAAGCCTTAATGTCATTCACGTTGGATTTCCCACGTCTAACTCTGCTCCTCCAACATCATGGTAATTCTTACATGTCATCTCAACCTAAAATACTCCACAAATACCATAATTATAAAATTCTAATCTTTCACTAGCGTGCAAATACACCATTCCACAAATATTTGTTGTGTCTTTACTGTGAGCCAGGCACTGTTCTAGCTACTGAGGATATTGTTGTGAACAAGGCAAATTCCTGCACAGCTTATTCCAGTCAAGGTGACATTCAAAAACCAGAGAAAGTAGTAATATGATTTCAGATCCTTAGCACTACGAAAAAAAACTAAGCAAGATAAGGAAAACTTTGTTTCTTTATTTATGTCTTTATTTGATTAATACATTCTTCACTATCTGCAGCTTAAGGCAGAGGCCATGCCTTAAGCTTCTTTGTATGCTTCTGGCTACCTTACACAATGCGCGGTACACAGCAAGTACTACAAATGACTGAATTCAATCAAATACAGGGAAATGACATGATTACCTTTTCCAATATGTCGCCTAGTGTTTTCAATTGTCGAATTACGATTAACATTTGACAGCAACCCCAAGCAGAATCTACTTTTGTTATTTGAAGGATCTGTGAATCCATCTACTAAAACACTAGTAGAAGATGCATGAAAAGCTTCCCCAACACGATTGTTTAATTCATAGTAGACAATTGAACACCAATGTTTGGGCTCTTCATAGGCAACAGGCTGAACATCTGTGAACAAATCAGACAGGAAAAAAATTTAATAAATGAGTATAAGAAAATCCAGACTTCTTTATGTGTTTTGTATTTGCCCTTTAACCCAACCCAAGCACTACATGAAAAAGAAAATTTTCAGATATTTCACTCAAGTCTCACTCACTGTCCTTCCTAGCTTTGAGTCTACAGCCAAAAAACAGACACTAGAAATAGACTTGAATATGCTAATTTAAAAAATTCTAGAAATACAAGGATAGGCAACTGTCTTAGCTTACTCAGACTGCTACAACAATATACCGTAGAGAGTCGCTTAAACAACAGAAATTTATTTCTGACAGTTCTGGAGGCTGAGAAGTCCAAGGTGCTGGCCTATTCCATGAGGGCCACTTCCTGGCTCGAGGACAGCTGCCCGCTCACTGTGTGGTCATACATAGGGCCTCTCCTCCGTGCATGCTCTTAAGAGAAAGATCCAACTCCCTTCATCTCCTTATAAGGAAAAACAACCTATCTTTGTTATAAAGTGGCAAAGAATCTGGCTGCATTATATTCATGTTGTAGAGTTTTGTGGAAGGTAGAACTTTTCTTATAATTTCTGTCTTCTTATAATTTTATCTGTAAATACTTTGGTATGTATCTCTAAAAGATAAGGACTTTTTTTTCTGTTATTATTGTTGAAGTCTAATCACAATAATCTCATCATGAGGACATAATTCAGAACATAGCAGCAACAACACATTTTGATTTTTCTTTTTTAGCAGAAACTAATTTGGGTTAAATTTGAGACACAATTTTTTCAGCATTTTCAAAGACTTAACTCTATTATTAGTATCTGTAAAATTATTCTAAACAAAAAAATGAACTAAAAAACTGAGAATCTCTGCAAACTGGGAATAGTGAAGAATTTCCTCAACTTGACACAGAACATCTACAGAAAATCTACAGCTAACATCATACTTCATGGTGAGAAACTAGAAGCTTTCCTGCCAAGATCAGTAATAAGGCAAGGATGTCTCCTCTCAGACACTCCTTTTCAACATAATACTGAAAGTCCTTGCTAATGCTATAAGAAAATGAAGTAAAAGGTACACAGATTTGGAAGGAAGAGATACTAATAAAACTGTACATGTTGGCAAATGACATGGTTATCTATGTAGAAAATATGAAAAAACTGACCAAAGACTCACGAACTAGTAAGCAATTACAGCAGGTTGCAGGATAGAAGGTTAATATATAAAAGTCAATTGCTTTCCTATATACCAGCAATGAACTAATGGAATCTGAAATTAAAAAGTCATTACCATTTACATTAGAGTCCCCAAAAATGAAATACTTAGGTATAAATTTAACAAAATAGAAACATGATCTATACGAGGAAAACTTCTAAACTCTGATGAAAGAAATCAAAGAACTAAATAAATGGAGAGAGATTCTATGTTTAAGGATAAGATGATCCAATATTGTTGAGATGTCAGTGTTTCCCAGTTTGACCTATAGATTATATAATGGAAATCAAAATCTCAGCAAGTTATTTTGTGGATAGTGACAAAATGATTCTGAAATTTATATGTAGAGAAAAAAGACCCATAACAGCCAACACAATACTGCAGGAAAAGAACAAAGTTGGAGGAACGACATTAACTGACTTTAAAACTTACTATAAAGGTACAGTAATCAAGACAATGTGGTATTAGTAAAAGAACAGACGAATAGATCAAAGGAACAAAGTAGAGAGCCCTGAAACAGACCCACATAAATGTAGCCAACTGATCTTTGACAAAGGAGCAAAGGCAACACGATGGAGGAAAAAATACTCTTTTCAATAAATGATACAGGAACTGGACATTCACATGCCAAAAAAAAAAAAAAAAAAAATCTAGACACAGACCTTACACTCTTCACAAAAATTAACTCAAGATGAATCAGACCTGAATGTAAAATGCAAAACTATAAAACTCCTAGAAGATAATGTATGAGAAAATCCAGGGGACTTTGGGTACAGCAATGACTTTTTTAAGGTACAATCCATGAAAAAAATAATAAGCTGAACTTGATTAAAATTAAAAATTTTTGCTTTGAGAAAGACACTGTCTAGACAATCAGAAGACAAGCTGATTGGGTGAGAAAATATTTACAAAAGATATATGATAAAGGACTATAATCCAAAACATACAAAGAACTCTTAAAACTCAATAATAACAATCAACCTGACTGAAGTATGGGCAAAAGACATGAACAGACACCTCACCATAGATACAGAGATGTCAAGTAGGCAAAGACGCTCAATATGGTATGTCATTAAAGAATTGCAAATTAAAACAACAATGAGCTACTACTACACACCTATTAGAATGGCCAAAATCCAAAACAATGACAACACCAAATGTTGGTAAGAATGTGAAGCACCAGGAACTCTCATTCATAGCTGGTGGGAAAATGGTACAACCACTTTAGAAGACAGACTGGTAGTTTCTTACAAAAATAAACACACTCTTAACATATGGTCCAGCAATCATGCTTCTTGGTATTTACTCAAATGTATTGAAAACTGTATCTACACAAAAACCTGCACGTGGATGTTTATAGCAGCTTCATTCCTAATTGCCAAAATGCGGAAGGAACCAAGAAGTCCTTCAGTAGGTGAATGGATAAACTGGGGTACACTGAGACAATAGATTATTATTCAGTGCTAAAAAGAAATGAGCCATGAAGCTATGAAAAGACATGGAGGAACCTTAAATGCATATTACTAAGTGAAAGAAGCCAGTCTGAAAAGGCTACGTACAGTATGACTCCAACATCTGACATTTTGGAAAAGGCTCAACTATGGAGACAGTGAAAAGATTAGTGGTTGCAAGGAGCTAGGGGGAGGAAGGGATAAGACAGGCAGAGCAGAGGATTTTTAGGAAAGTAAAAACGATTCTGCATGGTTATCATAATGTTGGATACCACGTATTAAAAACCCACAGAATGCACAAAACCATAAATGACCCAACCTAAATTATGGATTCTGGGTGATAACCATGTGTCAGTGAAGGCTCATTAACTGTAACAAATGTACCACTCTGGTGCAGGATGCCGATAATGTGGGAGAAGAGGGTATGTGAGAACTCTTTGTATTTTCCACTCGATTTTGCTGTGAACCTAAAATTGAACTAAAAAATAAAGTTTATTTTTTAAAAAGAAAGAAAAACAACTAAATAAACATTATCTTTGGGTAAAAAAAAAAGTTTAAATTTTACATGATAGAATTGCCTACAGAAAAAGGTTTGTACACAATATAAGATACTGTCCAAACTCTTATTAGAGCAAAAGTCAACAACTCATAATGGATACAATGGGTGGGAGAGACACATCGAAGCTCGTTATCCAGGTGTCTCTCTTAGAGCTGAAATCGGAGAAGTCATGGTCCCTCAATTCTCTTTCAAAAAAGGCAGAGATAAAAAATGTCCAAGAAATACTTAAGAGCAATCACGTGGTCTATGTAGGCAGTACAAAAGAGCTGGTTAACTTATTTTTCTGAGAGTAGTTTAACTTTTAAAACTCAATTCTGATTATTCAACTGCAAAGAACTCAGATGAGGAGTGAGAGAGGAATATAAACCAACGTGGACCCATAGAGAAATGTCGTAAGAGCTCAGATTTTAAAGAAGTTTATACAAAAGATGGAACAAGGAGAGGCCCATAACCAAAGACACATACCAATGAGTAGCAGGAAGTTAATAAGAACAGTGTCAGGAAAACCAGAGCTAAGAATGAGGAGAAGCTTATAGGAAAAAAATGCTAAGCAAAACTAAAGAGGCAGTTTGGTTAGGATGAAAAGGAGAACAAGGAAAGCAATGTCTCTGCTCACAGCAAAGGATATACTGTAGTTAACTGGTGATTCAAGGCATTGCAATTTAACTTCGATTTCCTTTTTGTCACTTCTCTGTCAGAGAAAGGAGAAAATACAAATATTCTGACTGAAATGAGAAGAAATTCTGGTGAGAAAAGACATTTACAAAGGTGAGAAAACTTGAGTGTCAAGTTCCTCCAAAAGGGCTCAGTTGTTTGGCTGAGACAGATTATATTCCAACGGGCATCTAACATACCCCACTTTGAAAAAGCATTCTAATCTCTAGAGAATCAGGAGAATAGAAGAAAATAATAATGGTAGGTAAACATAGTCTATATTTTCAAAAATATTTTGAAATTACTGTATGATCTAATTCTGTGTGCTAAGATTACATACATTATCTAATCAACATACTAATAATAATTCTAGTGTAAGTATCATCACTATCTATTTTACAAATCTGAAAACTTAGGCTTAGAGAATTAACCAGCTTTCTATATTGCAAGCAAATAACTAGAGAAGCAGGAATTCAAATCCAGAAATTCATGTTCTGAGATATTTTGCAGTAAATGAAAGTAGATTCTATGAATTACAAGTAAATTAGCATAACAAAATTCCTAGATTTTAAAAAGCAAAAACATTATTTGAATGTTTCTGAATTATAAGTAAATTAGCATAACAAATTCTAGATTTTAAAAAGCAAAAACATTATTCAAAAATTAACGAAACTATTAGGGGGCCTGAAATTTAACTGTTCTTAGGAATGTGGGGAACAGAGTAAGACATACCGTCATTCAGTATCATCACAAAATACACAAATGCACAGTGTTTTAAGAAATGTATTAATATAAAATTATAAACTTGAGACCTAAGGAGCTTAAGGCTTCAAAACAAAGTGGTTAAAAGATATACAATTTTTCAATTCTCAATTGAAAAAAAAAAAGACAATAAAAAAATACTAAAAAACCCTACAATGAGAAATCACTTCTTACCTAGTAGGATGATCATTATCCAAAACACAGAAAACAAGTGTTAATGTGGATATGGAGAAATTGGAACTCTAGTGCATTGTTAGTGGGAATATAAAATGGTACAGCCATTGTGAAAAATAATATGGCTATTCTTCAAAAGATTAAAAACAGAATTACCAAATAATCAAGCAAGTTCACTTCTAAGTATATATCCAAAAGAATCGAAAGCAGGGTCTTGAAGAGATGTGTACACCCAAGTGTACAGCAGCATTATTCACAATAGCCAAAAAGTGGAAGCAACTCAAGCGTCCATCAACGGACAAATGGATAAACAAAATGTGGTGTACACACAGAATGAAATATTATTCAGCCTTAAAAAGAAATGAAATTCTGACACATCCTACAACACAGATGAACCCTGAGGAGAGTATGCTAAGTGAAATTAGCCAGTCACAAAAAGACGACTACTATATAATTCCACTTATATGAGGTATATAAAGTAGTTGAAATCAGAGACAGAAAGAAGGTGGTGGTTGCCAAGGGCTAGGGGGAGGGGAGAAGAGGATGTTATTATTTAATGGGTTTAAGTTTCAGTTTTATAAGATGAAAAGAGTTATGGAGATAGATGGTCCTAACAGTCACACAAAATTATGAATGTATTAAATGCCACTGAACTGTATACTTAAAAATGGTTAAGATGAGAAATTTTATATTATGTATATTTTACCACAAAAAAAAATTAGGGGGGAAAAACCCTTATAATAAAGCTTTAGTAACCAAGACTATCAAGTGTAGATATATAGACCAATGAATAAAATAGAGAGTCCTAAAATAAACATGTATGAGAAAATCCAGAGGACTTTGGGTACAGCAATGACTTTTTTAAGGTACAATCCATGAAAAAAATAATAAGCTGAACTTGATTAAAATTA